GAACACCACCTCTAACTCGCCAGCGAGCTGCCACTGATGTGGAGGCTCCAACTAACACATCGCCATATTTCAAACGGACGATCTCTTTTCGAATGGTGCATAATATTTTATAGTTTATTCCTTTAATTTTTCGTTTTTGAAGTGCTTAGTATCCAGTGTTGTTTGTTGTGATGTGAAGACCTCAAAATTAGTCGGTTGCATATACATGGTTCTAAGAACTTCATTACTATTGCATATTAAGATCTAAAGTATTGTACGGCATTGCTCAAAAGTGAGAGGATTTGATGAAAAACGACTGTCAGTGTATTCATCATCATTATTTTAGGCCGTCACTAATTCATCAAAGTCCATCGATGCCACCAACGATGTTGAAAGCAATGGGAGAGCTGACAGTTCGTGGCTCACCATCGGCAACGGGGGAACGAGACTCTCCAAAAATGACCAAATCAGCTACCGGTAATACTCTAATTGCTACGCCACCTCCTTCCGCTGGTCTTCCTCCTGTATCAACTCCGTCTCAGGTGGGTTAATGTTCAAGTAAAGTCGGTCAGTGATGGAAATGTTACAAAATTAGGCCGTCGCGTTTCGCATTACATTTTGTTAGCTGGATATCCTCCTGTAGTTTTTGGGGTGCAATCAATGTAAAGGAACTGGCAGTTCATTTTGCAAATTAGAGCATTTGCACAGCTTTTTTAAGAAAATTTTCGCAGTGCTTTTACTTGTTCCGTTCTGAGTGGAAGTATTCTAGTATGTAAAGAAGGCTGGATTTCGAGGGAAAGCCTTCTTGAGCGTTGTGAGTTTTGCATTCCGCTAGTTCCTTCAATGGCATGCGATTGTGCTTAAGTTTTTTGCTTTTTTATGTGGTGTTATATTGGCAATATTTCAAAAGCCTCATGGTGAAATTTTGTTTACTCAGCTTGTTTGTACCTGTTCTTCTTTTGAACTGCGCTGCTACGGAATATAATTTTGTTTTTCCGTCTGTAATTCCTATTTCGGTAATATTGTTGTCTTCTCTATAAATAACATTAAAATTGAATAGACAGAAACCAAAATGAGGCATTACCATGGGGGCCTAGGGTTTTCAGAGTCGTGGTGAGCATGCAGCCATGTTTTGTGTGTTGGCTCGTGTTCGGTGCTGTAGTGATCTCCATGTGTGGGGAATAAAGAAAATGTTGAGAGCAGTCTTTAAGACAGCCACTGGGGCTTGCCTGGAATTTTCGTCAAGGATTGTGCTCTTTCCGCTTTTCCTGCTGCTGGATGTTCGCTTTGCACTGGACATTGCGAACGAGTGACAATGTCACTTTCAATATTGTGTCATTCTGTTTTGTTGCTCACGTTTCCCCAGTGTACTTGTGCTGTATTTAGACCTATGCGCCCTCCTCAGCCTATCAGTCGTCTGTGATTCCTGAACAACGTGGTAGCACTGCAACTGCCACAACCACCGTTGCAACTGCTGCGACCGCCGGAGTCAGCGCAACCGCATTTCCGCGAAACACTCGAAACCGACAGACTTTCCACGGCAAAACTGACTACAATAAGGTAAAGTCAATCATCGGCGAACGGCATGTGCCGCTGCATTTCTTTCTTTCTTGGCACTGGAGATTTGTTCTCTTTTGCCTGCTATCATTCAACGTTGTGTTTTCCCTTTTCTGAAAGTAACCCCACTCCTCATATTAATAAAACTTCGGTGTCAGTGTTGTGGACAGTGAAACGAAACGACGTTCCTGACGAGTTGGATGGTGTAATGTTGGATGAGCCTTTGAGTTTCGATTGACTCCTAGTCACGGAGGGAAATTATTCTATATAAACTGCTAGCCTTTCTCTCTTTCTTTCGTTTCGATAATGCCTCAGTGCCCTTTCATGGAGTCTCGACTTATGAGAAGATTCCAAGTAACACTTAAAAATTTTTGCATAAATCGGCAGATGTGCTTTACTAAGTCTACCTTGCTAAAATTTTTAGGGTAAATTGTCTTGTACGCTTTATTCCTTGTGTACTAGTTCACACATAGAATTTTTCATATGTAATTTCTTAATTTCTTATGCAGGTAAATGGAGAGGATGAAGAATCGGAAGGTGAGCAAGCTCCTGCCGGTCAGTCGATGGGCAATGGTCAGAAGGGAGGGTTTTTCCTCTCGAAGCTCACGAAACTTACTCGACGGTACGTTTGCATGTCGTGATTCTGTGATGATGGTGCTTCTTTTCTGCTTTGTGAGGTGTTGTGTTTTTACCTAATCGAAGACTAGTTCACAGGTGTATTTTGCCGAAAATTAGCTCCTTGTCTTGTTTTAGTTTTTCCAATGGTGATATTAACAGAAAATTTCCACTAACATGTTTTCTTACTAACAAGTAAAGCACGTGCACACTCAAATTTCATAAGTTCATGGTGGCATGCGTTTTTGACATCTAATTCCGGACAGATCTGAACACATAGCCGAGGCCGAGTGAAATGAGTTAGCCGAGGAATTTCTGGGATACAAAGTTTTTTGAATAACAAAGATTTTTTCCGTTTGAGAAGTCATCCCCTAAATTTTCACAAGTTGCATTGTTTTGTTGGTTTTTGAGGAGTGAACATTCAAGGGTGTGGTCAAGCACCGTGTAATATTATACTGCATGGGTTACTTCATGTGCTGTCCGTTCAAAATGCTTGCTATTTGTGTTTGACATTTCATGGGCTAGTGAAATGTGGCAAATACGACGTTGTTAGTTTATTTGATAACTGTTTTAACCCCAGGTTACCACTGACGGTAGTATAACGATGGTGGCGGTGAAAGCTCATGTTGTCCTATTCCGATCATGTCTGTTACCACAAATTCCAATCCTGCAGCCTCATATCACATAAGATACACGTCTCTAATTCTCTAGCTAGATGTCAATGTCTGTAGAATTACTAACAAGGGAAGTACACTATTCGCAGTGGTCATTAAAGATGAGATGTATACCACTTGTGTTTTAGAACGCTGAACTGAAATCAACATCTCAAATCTGCAAGACGACCCAGAGAACAAATTTAGGCGGCAACTTTCACGTGATATGACATTTGGTCGAGTATGTATCGAGGGTGAGTCACTGTGAGAGGTTTGAAGCAATGGCACAGGAGGTAAGACAATGGGATCGCAATTGTTGCATGGGGCTTGCATTCCGCATATATGAGCTTTTTTTTTTTGGAAGATAAACTCTAAAGTGCTGAAAATTAGTTTCACTCCTCCCAGAGACCGCTTGCAGCCCAATCTCGCCATTGGAAAGGGCGCAATCCGTCCAAGAAAGTTGCTGTATAGCCATTTTTGGACCTCAAGAGGTTCCAATGCGTATAGTTGCTGTGCTTTCTAACGTAAAGTAATGTCTCCTCAAAATGGATTCCTCTATGTTAGTTGTCTCGTTCGGCTTCGTGCTTGCGTAATATCGCTGGAGCCAAACTACTTCAACATTTGCAATGACATCACTTGCGGGGATTGCTCGTTTGCTATGACGTTGCAAGGCTCTCGATATAGTGCTGGTTCTACCCATTTTCGTCGATAGGAACGAAAACGTTAGTACTTTACTCTCACAAGTTGACATGCCTTTCACAATAAAGTGCGTCAATGCCTTTTTGATATTGAGAATATCGATCTTTTCTACCCTTCCGGTAATAGCTGCGACAATTGCTCCAGCACATCTTGAAAAGGATGCTCGACACTTTGTGGTTATACAAAGAATATTGAACAATTCTCCAAGAAAAGACTTGCCCAAGATTCGCTATTTGTTATTTTGTGTGTGAGCTTTGCTTCTATGGTGCTAACGGAACGAACTTCATTCAATGTGTGATGTAGGGGATATAACAAATTTCTCGGGGTCAAAAAAGTCAGGACTAAGATTCATTTAGGAAGTATTTGCTATGTTCCTTTTGGCGAGCTAGAGCTATGGGAGATGCAAAACTGTTTTGCAAGTTCTTCGTTTACATTTTATAAACATGCAAAGCAATACCATGTGCACGGAATGCAAGCTCTATGCCACGCCTGCGAGTCCATTGCCTTATCTGCTGCGCCGTCGTTTCACATCTGTCTCAGCAACGCGCCCTACATACTTTTCAAAAGCTCATATCCTAAGGATGAAATGCTCCCGTACTTTGTTTACAGAATCGCTTCGCAGATTCAGAATTTGACTTAGAGATCAGCGTTTTGAAATCATATGTGATATGCATCTTTTCTTGAATGGCTACTCCGACTCAATATGCTTCCCTTGAAGCCTAGTCAATCGTTCATACATAACCTCATCTCTGAGCACTGTCCGGTAATTAAGTAGTGATTTTTTTTTCTAAAAAATTGCTGGCTTACTTTTGTGTAGGAGAAATACGTAATTGTGATGTTCTCGGCTTAAGAAAAGGCTTATGTTCCATGCCTCTGTCAGTCTGTTCCATATAGGCTTGCTCGTCTTCACGGTTCCTTTCTCTCTTTTGCCTCCATCCCTTTTCCTTTCCCTTTTCCTTTTTACCAATCCCGCATGTACCCTCGTTACAGTAGCAGCACGGCATCGCCTGCAGGTGTGACTGCTTTGGGGTCTAATGTCGCTTCGGTGGCTACCCGTCGTCCGTTGCATCATTCTATCTCGATGGCGGGGGCTTCACCCGACTCAGCTACTCACCGCCATCGTTCATCGGATTACAGCCCGTCAGTGGTCACTGGAGGACATCACTACGATAGTGGATCTGGCCTGCCTCCACCTTATTCCGCCGTTCGCAGGGGACCACCCGAGGCCGGGATTACGTCAGCAGCTGGTAGTCAACCGCCTTCTCGAGCTGGAACCGTTGGTTCGAGCGGTGGAGCGCCGATCGCGGGCGCTCTCACGCAGATACGTGAAGGCCACGCGGTTGCTCCTTCCGGTAATACCACTCCACAATCCATGCGAGAGGACGAGATCAAACCTCGTAGCTTACGTTTCACGTGGAGCATGAAAACAACTAGTAGTCTGGCGCCTGATGAAATGATGAGGTTAGTTGGCATATTTCACACACTAATCCTTGAGAATAACTACGTGAGTTGAAATTTTTTCAGGGAAATTCGAAAGGTGCTCGATGCCAACAATTGTGATTACGAGCAACGTGAAAGATACTTGATTCTTTGCGTACATGGCGATCCAAATGCAGATTCTTTGGTACAGTGGGAGATGGAGGTCAGTGACAGTTACTGCTCTATTGAATGCTGCTTTATGCTTCGTAGTTGTGGTTTGTCCTGTAAGCTCAGAGGCCCAAACGGTTTGTTTCTCGTCTGCCTCCTGAGAGCATATTTTGTACAATTCTGGGCAAAACGTCGATCCCGAATACAGTTCAAATTACAGGTTTGCAAACTTCCGCGTCTCAGCCTGAATGGAGTGCGTTTCAAGAGAATCTCGGGAACTTCGATCGGGTTCAAGAATATCGCGTCTAAAATTGCACAAGAGCTCAACTTGTAGATGCAAAAAATGGTTTTTGCAATTGATCGATGGAATCCACATATTCGGCACCCTCGATGCTCTTTTATCGCGATTTCTGTCATTAACATTATCTTCCTTCCTTTGTATATTGTCTGTTTCTGTTTCAATCTTTCAAGATTTTCTTCCATCTCCTGTAGTAAAGTCGGTGTGGCGAGTGAAAGTCATCGTGACTTTCTTATCCCTTTAACTATCTCCCTTCATGTTGGGTGCTAGATTCTCCTCCTGTGGTCGTAGCTGGCTATCTTTTCATATGGACAGGAAGTAGTGATTTTTTTTCATTCTGATTGGAAAACGCCGCAACAAACCTTATTTTTACTTTTGGGCGTGACCTATTACTTGTTTAGTCTCTGAGTTATAATATGGAACTTGTTTGTACTTACGTAGCTTGATCAGGTCAGTTTTTTATTGTTTCTTCATTCATTAATTCATTGTATCATCGTGTTCTCTTTCGTTTTTCGTCGAGTTCAATGATGTATGATACGTCTATTCATCGTGATGTGTGTTTTAATTCTATCGTCTTCGTCATTATCATCATCTTCAGTCCCCGCAATCGCGAACTAACCGAGTTCATGTGTATTTGTGATACTAATAGCACTCGTTTTCTTATTTTTTTTTCATTTCATGACGAGAAGTTAAAAGTTCTACGTATTACTTGATTGTCAGCGAAAAGTGTATCTTTTCCGTATGTCACGTATTGACAGCATTTAGTGGCAGTAATGAGGAAAGCTTTTACTTGTCACCCGTGTCCTCTCTTTTTAGTTTGTTTCGTCTTCATTCTAAGCCCCCTTCATCCACCTTTTTTCTCGTGCGAAACTCGCGTTCGATGTGGATTTGTGGGCTCGTGGTCAGTTTGTTGCTGTTGACGGAATGTGTTTCGTCGATCTATCTGTGATTTCACTGCGCTCCCGTGTGCGTGTTAGGAACGTGATCGTGCACAGCCGGCTTAGTCGGCGGCAGTCTTGAACAATTAGCTCTGCCACAATGATGATGTTGTTCTTATCGGGATTGTCTCCTCAATACATATATCACTTGCTTTTTCTTTTACCATTTCAAAGTTAATCCTCACATCAAAGGTCCTCCCTTATAGATTTAGCTGCAAGCGTGTATCACATCGAAACAGCGCTGTTCCTGTCTTATAAATTGGTGGTATGTCATTAGGCAGAGTTTGGGCTGACGTTTCCATGTCAATTGTAATAGTAATTAACACGTTGCGTACCGGCGCCTTCGGCGATTTTCCCATCCGCGTGGGCAAGCGATTTTTGGTTCGGCTCGCGGCGTGCATCACCACGTGATGCACATGGCCACAAGGAACAGTTTTTTTTTTCTAAAATTGTGAATCCTCTACTATTGGGGTCCGATTTTTTTTCTATGTTTTCGCATATGGAGAACAAACTATCTGTCTAACTCTTGTGATTTAAGAGATATTTTGTCGCTAAA